TTTATAGGCATGTAAACTTCTCATTAAAGCATTATTTCTTGGAGATATCGATGCCGGATCGCATTTGACATTTTTATTTACAAATAAAATACGTAAGAGGAAACATGACGCACGCATAACGCACGTCTATCTATTTTTATATTGTTTTGATTAAAATTAAGGTTAATATAACTTTAGAGATTTAGAAAATCTAAATGATGCTACAATTATTACAGTGTGTTATATAAAAAATATAATAAATGTCGTAAGTAAAATATCATTTAACTGCAAGGCATCGTGTCATTTTTGAAAAAGTCTTAAAATTTTTGAAATAAAAGAGATTTTGAAAATTTTGAACACTTTTCAGAGCACTCGTGCTGCGTGGCTGTTTTTAGAGGAAATATCGAAATGCGTAAGCGCCGCGTCGCAGTCTAACAAATGAAACATTGGTACGGAACCCATGGAAATGTCAACAAAATTTATACTTATTAATTAAAAATCTCTATAAAATATCTGATAATTTGATGTGCATAATGCTAATGATCATTTTTAACCCCAAGTGGCATCTTTTTTTCACTCTTTTTACTCGATCTTTGAAACCGCTAGACCTTCCTATCCAAAATTGAGTCATTTCTTCATTTTATTAATACAAGTAAAATGTTTTTCGAATGATTGAAATCAGATGCTCCGTAATCTCAAAAACTGTTACCATTTCTGGCACTTTTTGCCCCGTATTTTCTAAACGGCTCGACCTGCTTTGACCAAAAACTAATCAGTACTTTTCTTTATTAAGGGATTACACCACTATAGCAGTAAAAAACGTATGTTTTTGTCATTTTTTTTCGGACGGAAGGAAAAGTATTAAATATAATATTAAAGATAGTTATTTATTGTACTTTAAAGTAACAAAATAAAATAAAATGGCAAAAACATACGTTTTTTTACTGCTACAGTGGTGTAACCCCTTAATAGGTATCGAATGTTTTTTAAATCATTTAAATCGGTTAGTTCGTATTCCCGAAATCGTCGACGAAAATTAGTATCCGCACATACACACACACGCACAACACACACATTATGTGTGGTATGCCAAAATGTTCAGAAACCTTTCAAAGGTAAAAATATATAAAAAATTTCTTTTTCGATTTTTTGCGATTACTATAACTTACCCCACGGCAAGTGATTTAAATTGTAATTATTACTTTTACTATATTCAAAATTCTCAGATATGTGATAACATATGTAAATATAGTATTAAAATCTATATGTCATTAATAATAATTAAATACAACAAAGGATGAGATGTAGATTAGATGTTGAATAAATTATTAAATATCATATTATTGAATATTATATGATATTATTAAATAATTACTTTCCTAAGTAATAAATATAGTTTTCAAATTTTAGCCGGAGTCACAAATATGTCACTAATCTAATTGTTTATATCTTATTCTATTAAGGAATAAACTAAGAACTTCAAATAAACGTTCAAATAAACTATTATTAATAATTATTATTCGTATGGATTATTTGAACAATTTCAACAAAGTTCACATATAATACGATAGGTTTAGTTAATTTTATTTGTACTAGAAAAATGCTATAAATTATT